CTTTTTTTCCCTTTCTTAAAAATCGGAACTATATTAGCAATTCTCCAGTCAAATGGTACAACCCCTGAGTTTAGAGATTTATTAAAACATTTTGTTAATGGACTTGCAAGTTCATGTGCCAGTTCCTGTAATATTTTTGGATGAAGATTATCTGGGCCCCCCGATTTACTCTCATTAAGCTGTTCAAGTTTGGCTTTTACCTTGGATATGGTAATATCTACCTCCATATCCTTAGTCCCATTTGTTAGGTTACCATTATCCCTAAGCTCTTCATTAGCCTCATTAAAGACTGAAGCAAAGTATTTGTTTAGATATTGAGCCATTCCTAGATTATCCTTAACCTCCACTCCATCCTTAGTAATTAGCGGTCCTATTTCTTTTTTTGTTTTTTTTCCTATTTATATGGTTATAAAACCTTTTACTATTGGTTTTAATTCCCTTTGCAAGGTCCAACTCTACCTGACTTTTAGCCTGTCTCACTTTGTCCCTACATGCTCTAACCTCAATAAGGTAGCTTTCTTTACTGATCCCTCCCATTTTCCACTCCTTATATGCTTTCTGCTTTTTCTTAATCACCTCTCTGAGATGCTTGCTCATCCAGCTTTGTCTAACACACCTGCCTATAATTTTTTTCCCTTTTCTTGGGATACAGGCTTCTGACAGCTTCTGCAACTAACTTAAAATAATCCCAGGCCTCCTCCACCTCAAGATCCATAATTTCTTTAGTCCAATCAACTTCCCTAACTAATTTCCTTAATTTATTAAAGTTAGCCCTTTTGAAATCAAAAACCCTAGTCTCAGATTTATTTTTGTTTATCCTTCCATTTAATTTGAACTGAATTAGCTCATGATCACTCGAGCCAAGGTTGTCCCCTACAACCATTTCATCTATGAGGTCCTTGCTATTCACCAAAACCAAATCTAAAATAGCATCCCCCCTTGTTGGTTCAGCAACTACTTGATGAAGGAATTAGTCTTGCACAAGGAAATGTCCACACTACCATGTGCGCGCTGTGCTTTTGCGCAAGAGCTCCCATGGCAGTGTGGACGCTCTCTTGCGCAAGAAAGCTCCGACGGCCATTTTAGCCATAGGGCTTTCTTGCGCAAGAAATCCCTGCCAAGCGTCCACACTGCCCTCCTGTGCAAGTGTGCCTGCGCAAGAGAGCTTACACCTGCTAAAAAAAGCATGGCTCTTGCGCAAGAATCCCTCTCTTACCACGCCATACTGTAAATTTCCTTGCGCAAGAGCAGGTGGGCAGTGTAGATGCTCTGCGGATTCTTGCGCAAGAACAGCCATACTTGCACAAGAAGCCGTGAGCGTAGACATAGCCTAACAGATTTATTTCACATGGATAACTTCTGATTTCCATTCCTTACATTTGACAAAGTGGTTTTTACCAATGAAGGCTTATCCCCAAATAAATCTGTTAGTCTTCAAAGTGCCACAGGACTCTGTTGTAGAAACGTATATATGTTGCCTATTTGGTTCTGCAAAATAAACACAAAAATCTGAACCCATAATCAGTGACTTCCCTCTGTTCTCTCTATATGGTATAACATCACCATTCACCCTGCTAATTTGTGCATTACACATTAAGCTTCACTCTTCAACAAAAATATTTGAATACAACATGCTACAAGGCCTTGACTTGTCCCCTAACTTCAATAAAGTTACATACAACCTGTTAGGTATAAGCAGTTTTCAGAACACCCTTCTGAAGTAGATTAATAACTCTCATTTTATAAAAGGGGGAAATGAAGCAGAGTGAAATGGCTTGCCACAAAAGGTCACAGAACTGGCAGACAAGGAAAGAATTCAGGTCTTCATAGTCAACAGCCTAATTCACAAGACTAAGATGCCACTTACTTGCAAAAGCTATAAATATAAAGTGCAGAGTATTTACTAGCATATGATCAAGTTAAATCTATGTTAAATCACACAAGACAAGTACATTTTGCAGTGTTTTCTCCTGGCAATGAAGGTAAAACTAGTTTCCTTGATTCACAAAATTCAATTCGTGTGCAGTGAGTCTTCCTGCTCACTGTAATTAAACGAGGTTCTACTGACCAGCTAACAAAGGCATAGGTCTAATATATACTCTAAATTGCAGAGCACAGGCTCTACAATATAAATACAGAAATTACCTTAAGTGATCTTTGTGCTAATTGAAGTCAAGCCTTCTTTATATACTTTGACTGCAGTCTGTGCACTAGCAAAACAAGTGGGCAGTGACTAAATGATTTTATCCAAATAAGTAGCATGAGAACACACTACGTTGAGGATAAATGTATTCTTCTGAAGTTCTCAGACTTACTTCATTGGTAGAAGACATACCTCAAGCACAGGCAGTAAGCACATACTTTGAAACATACTCCATGCATTAAAAACAGAGCCTCTGTAGGAACGGCAAAGCACTTAAAAAAAGTTACTAAACTTGTAGCCAAAAGATACCTTTGCACAATTCAGTTTACTATAAGAAACTAGATTACTGACCAGTAACATTAGTTTTAGGCTCTTCCATACCAAAAAGAATCTCCTACCTTATCTTAAGCAAATTGTACCATAAAATCTGTATGGATAGAAATTCCATGAAGTAGAAATCTTATCAAATGCATGACCAGGATAATAGTTATGACTGTGAAATACTCAAGGAGATTTGAGAGAATACAAAGGCAGAAAACACGATAATGGGGGACATCCACTATCCTCATATTGACCTGAGACATCCAGGAAGGGATGCAAAGATAACATATCTAGACACCATAAATGTTTCTTGGAGCAGGATGTACTGGTACCCACAAAGGGAGGGACCATTCTTGAGCCAATCCTAAGTGGAATGCAGGATTTGTTCAAAAAGTGAATACAGTGCCAACTGTTCAGCCATAGCAACTATAATAGAATTTAATGTATACATGCTTGTGTGGACAAGGAGTAGGAGTTACCAAAGAAAACCACCACTCTAGTGTTTAACTTTGAAAAGGCAACTACACCTAAAAAAAGGGGAGGAGGCACTAGATAAACAGAAATTAAAAGAAACAATCACAAAGGTGAAACTCATATAAATTGCAAGGAGATTATTGAAAATATATTTTAAATAGAGACTCAATCTAAATGCATGCCTCAAAAAAAATAAAACACAGAAAAAGGGTGAAAAAATGCCACCATGACTAAACAGCAGAGCAAGAGAAGCAGTTAGAGAGAAAAAAAATCCTTTAAAAATTGGAAGTCAAAGCCTAGACAGGAAAAATGGGGCGTGGAGGGGGGGGAGAAAGCATAAACTCTGGCAAGTAAAAAATAACTCCTAGAAGTTAGGGCCAAACAACAGGAGATGGCTCATTCTAAACTGTCCTGGTCTGTTCATTCCCTCTGAAGCATCAGAATCCTATCAGAAGTTCGAGTATTGAGCTAGATGGACTATTGGTCTGATCCCCATATGGCAGTTCTTATGTACCTTCTAGTTCAATTGAGTCAGTAATGCAGAACATGCCTTCTATAATATAACGGCCAGGACAGATGATGACAGTATCTCCTTCATAACAGGCATTGACAGCTGTCAGTGGATCACTGTGGAACTGTAAAAGACAGATAAACACTTCATCAGCTTCAGAAAACAAAAGAATAGCCTGAGTTCATGCCAACAGTATTTCCTTGTAATTTGAACATTTTGCTACATCGTCGAAATGCTACTGCCTCGGCTTAAAGGAAACCCATTTTAGTGCACCTCTAGAATACAATGAACACTTTGTACTCATACAGTGCTTACCGTGCAAGGATCTCCATGTACTTTTAGAACAGCAAATTAGCCTCAAAACATCCTTGTGAGAAGCATTGTTCCATATGCAGATGAGAAACTGAGGCAGAGAAAGATTAAATGCCACATTTTAAGAGCCTAAACGCAAACCTCAATTCTGCCCTGTCCCAGGTGATTTACCCTAGTCCACAAAGGGAACACAAGGCAAAGGCAAGAGGTCCTGGATGGGAGCGAGTCTAGATGCTCTGACTCTAGGAGCTGATTCCTCCTAAAAAGCATTCAAGGACATTGCAGTAAAAGAGTGGGATCTGCCTGGCAGACATGTTGTATTAACTAAATTGTTCAGTCTCAAAGGTGGGCAGGCTGGCACCTATCACAAGCATTACATTGGTATTCTACTCTGAACAGAGACTAAAAATGGTGTCATGAGTTCCTTGTTTATTGCCTCTGACTTCCAGGTTAGGCATGCTCAGTTTACAAGAATTAGGATCCTCCTACAACTGGCTAGCACTGCATGCTCAACCCAGGCTCTGAAAATTAAGCATGAGTGGTTGGTTTTTTCTTCCACAATAGCCTAACTTATCCTTCAGAACAGCTCCTAACAGATATCTGGGCAATTAAATGACAAACACACGCAAACTGCTGTAACTAGAATTGAGTAAATAATTCTGTTTATTCTCAAGGAACGGAATGCAGATAACTCCTAATTGGCTAAAAGAAATACTTTAAAAGGACTGCATCCCAGTACACTAAAACTCCAAGTTTCATGTCTTACTCAGAATGTGTCCTTATAAAATTGTTATAGGAGTGCAGAACAGATTCCCCATTTCCCATGCACAGAAAGGAAAGAGCTGGTAAAGTAGTATTTAGCAGATACAAGTTAGATGTTTCTTTCACCCTTATTAATCACTATTTTTATTATACTTGTGGGATTAAGATATCCTCATGGTAGGCTCTGTAAATACAGAATATTGTGGGGGAAAAAATTAATCTGTTGGGGAAGATAAAAGAAATGGAGGACAGAGAATGAAGACGACTCCTGATATTTTACCTGTATTTCTAGTTCTTCATCACAGGATTCAGGACAAAGCTTGTCCCTGAGCAGAGACTGCAACAGATTTGCCATTATAGTAGAAGACACAACATGAGTGATCTTTGTTCCCAGTGGACGGGAGCCTTTGGCTTGCAGACCAGTGTGCTTCTGGTAACCAAATACATACCTGAAACAAACCACACACCATCAGTTCAAACCTGATGGAGATCATTTCCTATCTGGTTCCCCTCGTCACACACATACACAGTACCTCAAGAGAGGATTCTCAATGAGCTTTAGCTTTTGCTTCAGATGCTCTATCTCATCATACAGCTTTAAGCCTTCCACCATAGAAACATTTTCTGCCTCAGAATCAGAGTCGCTGCTTGATAAGCCATTCCTCACGTTTAAGAACTTCCTGTAGAGCACCTCACACTGAGACAGCAGACTGTGGTAATCAGCAATAAGTCCAGATGGGACACGATCTTCAAGTATATCGTAGTGCCTACAATTCAAAGCATTGGAAAGTTAGTGTTCCTCATTTTCCCAAAGCAGAAAGAATGTAATCTAAAACCCATTTCAATCCATGGACATTTTTCCTCTGACAAACAGACTTTGAGTCACAAGTGCTAAACTCACTGCACTATGACACTGCAATTCAAAGGGGCATAGCTTACAAAAAGCACATTGGTTTAAATAGGCTCTCTCCCACTATTAGAATGCACACCCAAGATTATTAGAGTTCAAAGAATACAGACAAAAAGGGGAGATAATTTTTTTTTAATACAAAGATGTACTGTTAAATCAAACGAATGAAAACATCAAAAGCAGCTACATTACCAAGAATTATTTTTAATTCACTTTTTAAATATTGATGGGACTTTTTAAGGCACCAAGAAATTGGTGGCAACAGCAGCAATAATGTAGCAAATGCCAGCTCTGAAATAGCAAAAGGAGAACATTGCCTAGAAGAACATTCCTCTCGGAAAGTGAAAGAGGCAACAATTAGAACTGGATGATAGAAGTGAAAAGGAAGATTTACTACAAGATATAATGTACCATCAAGGAGTCTTGCCGGAGAGATGGAAACACTCCTGCAAAGTTGTCCTGCTTAGTTCAGACAGAGTCACATATCTGCCAGCTAGAAGACAACTTGTTGAAAATTTCAGAGCGGTTGTAACAGTCATCACACCAGAAAGATCAGAAAACAATGAAAAAGATACTGAAAGCAAAGTGAGAAAAATCCTTTGTTTTTGGCATAACTGAAGGATATTTACACACTATATAAATAACTCCATGTCCAGTGGCTGAGGAGTCTTACTGGGAAGAAGAAAACATCCAAAAAAACCAAGGATCAAGGCAATTCCTTAGACCAAGTTTCAATCACTCGGAGGTTCATTAAAGGGCAGCACTCTCAAAAAAGTGCCATAAAGAACAAAAAAAATGGAAGCACAATAATAAATATCTACTTGGCTGTAACAACCTCATAGCTAAAACAAGCGTGGTGATAGTGTTGTAAATGCAGCATACGTGGCGATAACCTATGAATACGCTTCAGAGCAGGTGAGGAACTAGTTGATTTCTTAATACAGAGAAGTATAATACTCAAAGAAAATAGATAGCGTGTAACTGAGTAGTTGTGTAACTGCATAAACTGTTACACGACTATTTGATAGTCCCTGGAGGCGGGGCTGGCAGCCAGTGCACTCCGGTCCCGCTCCCAGGGAGACCACAGTTACTCCGCACTGCTGCCTCTCAGACACAGCAGCATGGGGTGACAGGCAGGAGCTGGTCCGTGAGGGGAGATGATTTAAAAACTGGCTCCCGCCTGCCTCCCTGTGCTGCTGCCTCTGATATAGAGGTAGCAGCAGTGAGGGGTGGCAGCTGCCCCTGTCTGCAGGGAGCTCAGACCCCCCACAGACAGGGTCTGGTGCAGGAGAGCAGCCTCTGTCTGCATCAGGCCCAGGCTCACTGCAGACAGAGGCTGCTCCGTAGGATGCGGGTGGCGGGGATTAGAAGGGGTGCAGATCCAGTGCTCCCCAGTCACCGGCTCCCACCTCACTCCCTTTGCTGCCTCTGCCTTTGCTGTATCAAAGGCAGCAAGGGGAGAATGCATGTAGTTGACAGGATTAACCGATAAGCCTAGGCTTATCAGTTAATTGTGTAGTCTACACATTGATATCCCTAGGAGAAAACAATGGAAACTGTACCCAAGTTTGATCCTAGTGTCTATTCTCACTTTTAGAACTGATCACTCTGTAGCTATATACAGAAAAACTTCCAAGTTACGAACACCAAAGTTATAAACTGACCATTCAACCACACACCTCATTTAGAACTGAAATTCAGGCAGCAGAGACCAAAAAGGGGGAAAAAGTAAATCGAGTATAGTGCTACTAAAAAAGGGAACGTTAAAAGAGTTGACAAGTTAAAGAAACAGTTTCTCTACTTGTTTCATTTAAATTAAATTTTAAATGTTAAAAGCAGCATTTGTCTTCCACACAGCTAGTAAAGTTTCAAAGCTATATTAAGTCAGTGTTCACTTGTAAACTTTTGAAAGGACAAAAGTTCTACTTTTGTTTGGACTTATGAACAATTCAGATTTATGAACAATTCAGATTCACTCCCAAGATATTCGTAACTCTGAGGTTCTACTGTAAAACTGAATTATTTTACCAAGCTTCAGTAAAATAATTTACATAGACTTATCAGTTTTACAAGACAAGAACTTCTATTTAAAAAAATTAATGGAATTAGAGATAAAGTTTGCAGTACAAGATTTAATCAAAACTCATGGGAGACTCTCTGAAAAAGAATGAAAACATTGCACATCTACATGAATAAAAGGATGTACATTACTACTAAATAGTCAACACATCACATCAGTGCTCACATCAGAGCAGAAGAGCATATAAACTTCTGCATGGCTTAGAGTACATGTTTTGCTTCAAGTACAGAGTTGGGAATGAGAAAAGAAAATATTTACTCTTCATTGCAATACAAACCTGAAACATTATGGTTCCCATTTGAGTCCTCTCTAAAAATGCTTCTAACTCCCTTTTCAGCCCATTAGCTACTTTAAAAAAGGCTGTTTGCATGTGATTACATTCAAGTTTCATTAGATGCAAAGTATTTTTCCCTCCAAGGAAAAAAGCAACTTCTTCCTTCTGCCTCCCCCATCTGTTTGCAATGTAGATACATAAAACACATGAGAATGTTTATTTCCACATGTAATATTTTGAGACCTCAAAACATATCCTCCCAATTTGTGTGAGCTCTATGTGACCCAAGTAGAACATGGAACTGAACTATCATAATGAATTCCATTTCAAAGAATCTCCACTTCAATCACAGTATCAAAACTGGATTGGCATGCAATGTGCATTCCTGAATTCCTATTCTAAATAAATACAAGGCACAAAAAAGGACTGAGGAAAACAGGCATGAGATTTCATGGACTAATGCCGCGTTTCTCAAACTGAGAGTCCCGACCCCCAAGGGGGTTGCGAGCAACTTGGGGGGAAGAGGTACGGAATCACAAAGTTTGAGAACCCCTGGTTTAATGTATTGTCAAATGAGGGAAAGTCCTAGCAAACTCGCAAAACCACTTTCCAGTGATTCATTTCAGGTATTTAAAAATACGTTTTTAATATTTCCCAAATGTGCCCTTGTGCACGAAGTTCCAAATGGCTGGATGGTATTCAAAAGCCACATTCAGAAAAATGTAATACAAAATAACCTCACTGGGGAAAAAAATACACATGCCTTCTTCAACATCCATTTTTGGTTTTGGTTTTTCAAGTTTTCTTCTATGTTCTGTTCCATTTGGGTTCTTATTCCACACCCAGAGGTATATGGAGCATCACACATTAGTCTTAATTAGGAACACATTTCACACTTAAAATTAAACTAGTCTTCTTACATTTGACAGAGGCTATATTTGGGTTTGGATCGCCATCTAGTGGAATGAAAAGGGTTATGAAAAAGGGCTAAATAAAAAGTATCTATTACCACTGGATCTATTTCCAAATACAAGATTTCTAGTGCCTGACAGTAATCTGTCAGGCACTAGAATTAGCTTTGTTTGCTAATAAAAAGATTTTTGTATGATTTTCATTTCATCCATCACTACTCCCATGCTTCCCCTTCCAGCACTTCTTAACTAAGTGTTTATAAAACGTCACTTACAGTCTCAGTCGAGGTTCAACACATCGGACAAAATAATCAAAGTCATCCTCATCCTCTTCATCCCAACTCCTCCATATGTGCTGGTAGAAAAATCTTTTGAAATAAAACAGTCACTTTCACAAAAGATAGGACCGAAAATAGAAAAGTAATAAATTGCAGAAGACACCTCAAAATATCACAACTTCTAGTCCCCATCTCACTCTCCTCCAAGCTATTCATATACAGACACTAGCCTCGTATTCCTTATCTTCTGTAAAAACTGTGAGTAAAGTGTTCAAAAAGGCCATTGACTTCAACTAAACTTAAGCTAAGCATCTAACTCACTTTTTGAAAATGGGACTTATGTTCCTAAATGACTTTAAGCATTTAAGTTTGTAGCATGTGGCTCCAGTTCAAATCCTTCCACTGGCCTCTTCTCATGACACATTAAGCTTAGCTCACTCACCCATCAAATGCTCCTTCTGGGCTATGACTTATCAGACATCTATAGTCATTACAAAAACAGGATACAGGAGCTAAGTCAGGGTCTTGGCTTCTCACCAGGACATTGTCCAGGAGAGTGGGGTCCCATATCTTAGTTTAGTCTTCAAGTCCAGACCTTGTGGCTATTACTGATTTTTTTTTTTTAAACCTTATGAAGTGTGTGTATATACTGGAAGAAGAGCGCAAAGTAGTACAAAAGAAAGGAAAAAAGATCTTAAAGGAAGAGTTAGAAAATAAGTAAAGTATGTAGTAGGGATGTTAGCTATCATATAATTTAATAGTTGTGTAACTGCATAAAGTATTATTGGTTACACAACTATTTGATCATCCCCAGGGGCAGGGCCAGAAGCCAATGCACTCCCAGCCCCACTCCGAAGGAGTCTCCTGCTACCTTGCACTGCTATCTCTCTATTTGAGGCAGCAGTACGGGGTGGCAGGTGGGAGTTGGTCAGCAAGGAGAGCCAGTTTAAAAACTGGCTTCCTGTGCAGACCGGCTGCCTGCTGCCATGCACTGCTGCCTCTGATACAGAGGCAGCAGCACAGGGTGGCAGCCGCCCCAGCCATAGTGGGTCTGAGCTCCCCAAGAATAGAGGCTGCTTTGTGGGATGCAGAGCATCCTCTGTCTGTGGGGAGGTCGGACTCCCATGAACAGGAGCTACTGCTGCGAAGCAGCCTGTGCCCATACCAGACTCAGGCTTGCCACTGACAGAGAGGCGTCATGGCAGCCTCCCCCACCCCCCACTGCTGCCTCTGATAGAGGCAGCAGCGTGGGGGAAGGTGGCACTGCAGAGCTAGTTCTGGAGGGAACCGGCTTTTAAGCCAGTTCCCCCCAGCACTAGCTACTGTCCCCCCCTTGCTGCCTCTGAAACAGAGATATGGGGGGATGGGGAGAGAGAAATGTGTAATTGACAAGATTAACCAATAAGCCTTGTGTAGTTGAGAACATGTTGACATCCCTAGTGTGTAGTCTCAAATACACATCAAAGCAACAGCAAATAAGGGAGAGGTAGTGCGCACACAACAGGAAAAGAAAAAATGAATCCAGGAAGAGAAAACTAAAAACAATGCAGGAAAAAGATTCACCACAATGAATAATTGGGGGTTATGGAGGAGAAAGTGTAGCCAAGGGTAGAAGTGAGACAATCCAGTAACAGCAAGGAAGAGAGAGAGTTGCATCTTTTAAGCTTAGTAGCAAATTACTTTATAATGGGCTATAATGAAACCAAGCAGTGTTTTTCTTCTGACCAGTCAACTTTGCTCTTGGGCTAGCTGCCGTCAGGTTTACTTCTAAGGCGCGGTCAATGTAACCATAAGAATGGTCAAGAATTCACAGACAGGAGTCTACCAAAAGCGCTCTGACTGGACACTAACAGTAACTGTAAGAAACACATACACATTATAGCAGTTTTATTGTAGCTCAGATATGACACCTAAACAGACTCTTAAAATTAAAGAAAGAATAGCTCAGGAGACAATTAACTTTTTATGAACATTTTCTTACCTGACATGCTCTACAGCCAGGGCTGTCTGGTCAAACTCTCCTGATTCATCAAACACAACCCACAGCTCCTGCAGTGGTAACTGATGCTCCTTCAGCTCCAAGAGCTCTTGCATACACTCCAAGGTAAAGGTGCTAACATCGGAGTCACACAGGAAAGGTTCACTGAGCCGAACCACAGCTTTCAGAGCAGAGTACTCCACATCCACAACCTGTATTAACACCATAGCTATTAGGGTGGCTTGAGCGCAATGGGAAAGCCAACACAATGCGCATAACACATTTAGTCTTATTATATAAATCAATCAGAAACTTTGTTAACACTCTGTGTGGCATTTTATACCAGTTGTCTGAGCATGTGCAGACATTATAAACCCCAAAACTAACTCTGCACCCAGAAAATACATAGACTTACATAGAGTGCTTTCCATCCTCACAGCACTGTACAAACACGAAGCCTACTAATTTCCCTGGTAGGACAGGAAATTACTATCTTCTTACAGAGGCCTGGATTAGAGAGCTGGCAACTCCCTTGAAGCTGAGGGTGCTCTGAAAAACATCAGGATCCATGTGCCTTACAGCAGCATACACTGCAATTCAATGTCACAGCCAGAAACAGCAAGAATTCCTGAGCACTAATCCCATACTTCAGCCTTGTAAGCTGCCATGCCCTTTAGCTGGAAAGCACTTCAACAGGAACCAAATGTGGCATGGGGATTCCTGAAGTATGTCAATTTAGGGAGAGGACAACACTGATCAATGCAAGTCTACATTGATGGGAAACACGAACAACTTCCATTCCTCTGTAAAGAGAAGCCACCCATATGTTTGTATACTTCTACTTATTTTAAGTTTGTACTTTACTTGCAGGTGTTTTAAGCATAGCATGGGGATAGCATTTCCCTTATTTAAAGGAGGGTTAAGTTTAAAATCGGGTTCATACAAAGGCAACATGCTGTCTGTAGAAGGGGACCCTTGCTATGCTGGGCCCCAGATCAGAAGCTCCTCACACACCTTAACTCCTTCCCAGAACCGGCACCCCAACCTGCTGCCCCAGCCCTGAACTCCTTCCTGAATCCAAATTCCCTCCCAAAGCCAGCATCCAAGCACTTGCCCCAAATCAGAACCACATCCCAGCCACTTGCCCACACAGAGCCTCCTCCTGCACCCCAAAGCCCAAAGTCCAATCCCCACATCCGACACGACCCAACCAAAACTCTGACGCCCCTGGGGTACCCCAACCCCCTGCACCCACCCGATGAGTGAATGAGAGTGGGACCTCATCTATGCCCTATATTAGGTTGGGATAGCTATGGAACTTTAGGGTGCAGATTTTTCATAGCCCTAAGCACCATAGTTGTCAACCTAAGTTTTAAGCATAGACTAGATCTTACAACACTCCTAGCACTATACCCCAGAATGCTTTCCATCCTCACAGCACTGTACAAACACTAAGCCTACTAATTTCCCTGGTAGGACAGGAAATTAGGTTGGGATAGCTATGGAACTTTAGGGTGTCTTTTTTGCCACGGCATCTCACTGTTGACCTGTTTAACTTGTGATCTGCTGTAACCCCAACGCTGTACTGCATTACTGCTGCCTAGTTACTTTCCATTTTGTAACTGTTCATTTGATTTTTTCCTTAAGTATAGTACTTTGCAATTGTTTTTAATAAAAATCAACTTGCTTTTCAGACCAGTTCTGCAATGTATCATTCTTCTGAATTTTAGTCCTGTCCTCCAAAGTGCTTGCAACTGTCCCAACATTGTCTTATCTACAAATTTTATATGCATAATGTGTATTCTATCATTCAATTCATGAATGGAAACACTGAATAATACAAAACCCAAGACACACCCCTACAAGTCCTCATAGTTTGACAGCCAGCCATTAATAACTACTCTTTTAGTATGTTTACACAGGAAGTAGACTTCTGTGGCTAACACACGCCAGTCAACTTAGGTTCATGGCACTCCGAGACCTTCCCATCTCTCAGTAAATCCTGTTTAGTTAATTAACGGTTAAATGTTGTGTTTAACCATGAACTAATTAAATGGAGGCAAGTGGGGGTGGGGTCCACTCCAGCCAGCAGCGAGGGACTGGAACACCCCCCCATACCACAGGCAGGTCGGAAGTAGTATCTCCCTCCCATTCCCAAACCCGGCTGCTGCTTTCAGCCCTCCATAAGCCTGCCAACTCCAAGCCCACGAGCCCATTAAGGGTAATGTTTACCAGTTACCCGTTCACATCTCTAATAGGAATGTAAATGACTAATCGAGTCACCACTCAACTAGTCACTTCTCCCTTGCTTGAAGCAGCAAGAGGGGGGAGAGTTGGAACCGGGGCTGAGGGAAGCCAGCTTAAAAGTCCATTGACTACCAATTAGCTTATTAAACACAATTTAACATCCTTAATCCCTATCTCACAGTGGAAGTCTACACAGCAATGAAACAGCCCTGTATCCCAAGCCCTGTGAGCACCAATTGGCTAATATGGATGAGCAGCAGGTGTCTAGTTCATGTGAAGAGAGTTTCTCTAACCATTGTGCAGTAATTTTATCTAGACCAAATTTCCCTAACTTGCCTATGAAATTGCCATGGGGAAATGTGTCAAAAACGTTAATAAAAATCAAGATGTATCATTTCTACTGTTTCTGCCCTATTCAGTGCCACTGTCAAAAAATAGAAATTGGATGGGTTTGGCATGATTTGCTCTTGACAAATCCATATTGGCTATTTCTCATCTTCCAGGTTTGAACAAACTAGTTGTATAATAATTTGTTCTAGTATTTTTCTGGGTATCAAGATTATGTGACTGGTCTCCAATTCCCCAGGTTCTACTTTTTCCTATTTTTGAAGACAAGTACCATTTTGACCTTCCACAGACTCCTGGAATGTCAGCCATTGTCCATGAGTCATCCCTCAGATGTCCCACATCTTCCCTGGAGTAGGTTCCTCCTCTGATCTCAAAAGAACCCTCTTAGACCAAAAACTACAAATGTATGTCACCCCATTGGAGTCCTTTAGTCCCCTGCCACTCTGCACTGGCCCCCTCTTCCATGTAACCCAGATGCTGTTAAATAAATACTGGTGCATTCCAAAAGCAACAGTGACAATTTTTGCCAGTTAAAGGAGGCCTCCAAGTCATCTGGGAAGTCTAGCAGTTGCTTGACCCACCTTGGAGGGAACCCAACTGAAGACCACGTCATTAGGCATCTGATCCTAACATCAGGAAAACCCATTCCTGACAGGAAATGTGACGTGCAACATAAGCAAATCCTGATCCACCCAAACCACAACAAAGCCAGTACACAACACCTTGTGCTCTCAAGCCCTGGTTTACGCACCTCGGCATCCTTTCAACAGTTCAAATGCCTGTGTGCTCACAAACTGACATCCTTGAATGACTGATACGATCACTGAAGCCAATCTAGCTCCTTAAAAAAACTTCAATACCATGTATTTGTTTATAACGAGAGAATACCTTAAAAAATGATTAACTCAATACCATCCTTTCTGGTGTAATATAAAAAGTAACCTTCAGACAGAAGATAAAGCAACTTCTAAGGCCAAGGGAACAAGAGAAGAAAAATTCCAGGCTGACACCATTTCTGGTTTTAGAAACTTCAAAACATGCCTAGATTTCACCTCCTATTTAAAATCAGGCTTATAGGTTCATCAGTTTTTTTGTTCAACAGAACAAGGAACAAACCTAACCAATGGAACCAGAGTACAAACTTTTCACAAAGACCCAGCCAGCAGAATAAAAATGATATCCCTACTATCATTCGGTGAGAGCAAGAGAGGCCATCCTAGGAATAATTATTTACTATTTGTACTACAGCAGCCTAGAAGAGCCAGTCAGGGCACCATCGTGCTAGGTAGTGGACACACAACAAGACAGTCCTGGCCCCAATTTACAATCTGCACAGAACAGGTTACAGTCATGAGGGCTTACAGTTAACTGCACCTCAAGTTGCTACATGTCACAAGTTGTTCTCCTACATTCTCCTGTCCAAGCACTCAAGCCACTGCAAGTGGTTAAACAGCTTCTTGCCTAATGCTCTGTCCTCCACACTGACAATTAGATGTGAAAAATATGCTATTTTCTATCAGCTCATAAACTTTAATTAAAAAGAAGTGATTTGCCTGTTAACAGTGGAGTAAATTGATGTTAATTGGAGACAAATGACTAGCAAGTGAATTACATTTACCTCGACCAGCACCTCAAACACATTAGTGCGCCAGATTGCTTGCCATCCAGATGGTTCAAGGACCTTCTCTAAGTACTCAGCTGTGAATTCTTTTACCTCAGAGGGCTTGCAGTCAGCTAAAATTAAATTAAAATCACAATTTGTATTTATGCAATAAAAGGACAAAGGGAATAAAGTTCACATGAGTAATTCAAGGGAAGCTGAACATGATGGGGTTTTAGTGTTCCTTTATTATGTCAGAAGTGGGCTGCAGCTTTGTTCCACTGTCTTTTCATTTGTATTGTTTTAGTGGCTCAGAGTCCCAGTATACACCAGGACCCAGTTGTACTTGTTGCTGAACAAAGAGCAGACAGCCCCTTGCCCCCAAACAGCTTGGCCCCGAGTCCTGGAGAGCTAACAAGGCTGCTCTCAACCCCCAGAAAGCTTTGAAAAAAGAGCAACTGCCTGCCCGATCCCCATGTGTCTCAAATACGCCTGGGGAGGAGGTAGGGATGTGAATGACTAATCGACTATCGGATAAGCAAATACCGATCAGATAGTCAACTAGTCGCTTCCCTTCCCCATCCTTGCTACCTCTATCAGAAAGAGGCAACAGGAGAGGAGAAGGGGGGAGAGAAGAGATGGGGCTGCTTCAAAGCAGCAGCACAGCAGGGAGTCCAGGGCCAGACCCAGCTGTCCCAACGTTGCACGTGGCATTTCAAAGCAGCAGCACAAATTGCATTGACTATTTGATTAGCCAACTGATCAAAATTTTACATCCCTAGCAGTAGGGACAAAGTCTTATCAAAAATACCCCTCCTCCCCGCTTTTCAATTGTTCAGACTTCAGTCTCTTGCAATATCAAAATCCCTTTAGCTCTAGTCCTTCAGCTAAAGGAGTTTCCTATTTCATGTACAAGTAAGAGTTTAAGGCTCTTTAGAATCTCAATTCCATCATTAATTGACCTCTCCTGTACTCCTGCCACTAATCTAGTTCCTCTCTAGTTACCATGCTATGAATGGAGAATGGTGCAATTAAAAATGACAAATATATACAGCTTAAAACTGAATCACCAGAGAAGTCAATATTACCGAGATCATGACAACAGGGAATTTTAGGAGCAGAAAGGTAACTCACCCAAGATGTAATCCTGATAGGCTTTAAATCGGTCATAAAACAAAAGGTGATTTGTTTGGAAGCTGTCTGGGAATAGTGCGTTCCTGTCTAGCACATGCCTTCCTAAAATGGACCCTGATTTGTCATGACTCCCATAATCAGTGCATCTGTCATCATCTTCTTGGAACAATTCTGAAAAGAAAAAAGTCAACCTCAATTCAAGTAGTGTTCACTCATTCTGTCCCAGAAATCTACTGCTAAATGTAAAATCCATGTGTGCCTCTTCTACTGGTCCACAGGCTAATTTACTGTTGGAGTGGCATGTAAATAGCTAACTTAGATTTTCCATTTTTCAGAGGTACATACACTTGACAAACAGCATCTCCCTACCTGTTGGATACGACCCAAACCGAATTTTTCAAACAGATTATGGCTTTTTGTTTCATTTGGGTGTATTATACAGAAGTTCAGACAAGCTTGAGCTAATAGAATAGGTTCCCCTCCCCCCCACTATTTTTTACATTAGAAATATCAGGACCAGCATGATTGCACTGCCGGATGACCTCCTGAGACAAGGTCTACCTCATCTACAATCCAGATCTTAACTGAAAGACAGAAATGTTCAATTACATACAAGTGTCCATCAGCCCATCTGTCACCCTTCCACCCACAGGTGTTCATTAAGCATTGAATAAGCCTCAGCAAGTCAAGAAATAATCAAATGCAGCTAAAAATGTCTTCCCTCAATAGTTCAGCCTTTAATCTATAGTGCAGGTCCATTTAATCAGTTCACCTGTCACCTCAGGCATCCTACACTAGAGATCAAAATGGTTTCTAACAACCAATTCAATCACAAATAGTTCAGTGTGTTCATGCTAACAATGCTGACTTCTGAACCAATGCAGTTTTGTGCTAGTTCCTCTGCTCAGCTATTTCAACTGCAATGCCCCCCTCAAAGCTACTGGACACCTGAAAAAACTACCATGCTCTGAGGGTGGTCAAGCTGAACCATGCAACCGTGATCCACACTAGGGATGTTAGATAGCATGTAACTGAATAGTCCTGTAAACGCATGACATTTTTGCAGTTACATGACTATTTGATCATTCCTGGAAGCAGGCCCAGCAGCCAGTGCATTCCTGGATCCACTCCCAAGGAGCCCCCTGCCACCGTGCACTACTGCCTATCAGGAGGTCCACGAGGGGAGCCAGTTTGAAAACCAGCTTCCCACACAGATCGCCTCTCACCTGCCACCCCACACTGCTACCCCCCTTTACAGAGGCAGCAGCGCAGGGTGGCAGCAGCCCCGTCCGTGGGGGTCTGAGATCCCCATGGACAGAGGCTACTCCACAGCAGCAGTCCCTGTCCACAGGGAGCTTGGACCCCTCCACAGTCAGGGGCTGAGCAGCAGCACAGAGCAAGGGGAGGGCCAGGCGGCACCACAGAGCTGGGGAAACTGGCTTTTAAGCTGGCTCCCCTCAGCACAAGTCCTTGCCTGTGTCCCCCCAACCCCTCTGTAGGAGGCAGCGGGGGGAGGGAAGCAGGGAGAGGCAAGTCAGCTAAGGCAGATACACGTGGGGAGACAGCTTTCAAGCAAGCTCCCAGAAGTATCAGCTCCCACCTGCTTCTGTCACCCTCCGAGCTGCTGCCCCTCTATCAGAGGCAACTGCATGTGGGTGGGGGTGGGGATAGGCACATCCGGTGCTCATGGGTAGATGGCTTTTAAGCCATCTCCTTATGGGTACTGCCTCCCGCTCCCCACCAACTTGATGCCTCTGATTCAAAGGCAGTGGGGGGCGGGGGGGAGAGAGAGAACACGAGTACATAAGAACGGCCGTACTGGGTCAGACCAAAGGTCCATTTAGCCCAGTAGCCTGTCTGCCGACAGTGGTCAGCACAAGATGCCCCAGAGGGGGTGAACTGAAGACAATAATCAAGCAATTTGTCTCATGCCTTCCATCTCCAGCCTATGACAAACAGAGGCCAGGGACACCATTTCTATCCTTTGGCTAATAGCCCTTTATGGACCTAACCTCCATGAAATTATCTAGCTTCTCTTTAAACTCTGTTATAGTCCTAAATCTTGTAGTCTTCAAGATTAACAAATAAGCCCAGGCTTATCGGTTAATCATGTGGCTGTGTACACTCTGACATCCCTTATCCATGCAAGCATAAACTAAACATGCTCTCATTCTGCAGCAAGCAATGAGATACAGAAGACCAGGCACAAGACAGAGTCAGGACCCCAGGTTCCATCCCCAATTTGGCTGCTGACCTGCTATGTGACCATGGACAATCACTTCATCTCTGTGCCTGTTTCTCCTCCCATTCTCTTTCTACATGGCTTGTTTTGACTGTAAGCTTACAGAGGGCAGGCATTGCAGCTTCCCATGTAAGCAGTACAGTGCCTGGCTTAGTGGGGCACCAACCTATTGGAACTTCTAGATGCTAACACACATAACCTAGCTGGATTACTTGGGTGTGGACGCAAGTCTTTTACATGTGTTTTAAGGGGACCAAACATTCATAGTAAATTCCTTGAGTGTAGACAAGAACTGAACTTCGAATGTAAAAAACAAAAAAGTCTAAGATCTTTCAGGCTCTTATAAATCACAAAGCAGAAAGGGCAAGGCCCTTTCTCCTGCAAACATACCTGTTTAAAAAAACCAAATATGTATTTGGCTAAAGCTAAGACTTTGCCACACGTATTTTTAGTAAAAGTCACCAACAGGTTTTAGTAAAACAGAAAAATTCACAAAAGCCATGAACTGTCCCTAACTTTTACTAAAAATACCCCGGACAAAATGGGGATGTGTGGATCCCAACATTACTACATTTGGGGCATCTGCAAAAACTACGAGCTGCTGGGAGCTGCAGGATACCCATCTCACCAGCAGCTCTGGGCATCACCCAGTGCCCTCAGGGGCATGGAGCTTGATTCCCCCATGGTTGTCTGGGATTCCCAGTTGAGGAGCTGGGAGTTCCCCCACCACCTGCAGGGACTTGAAATTCCAAAGGTTGCCGGAGGTACCGCACAGCTTCCTGCTCTCCTGCAGCACCAGATCTCTACAAGCTGAAGTCAAGGAGGCTGCAGGAAGTCACAGTTCCATGAGTTCCCCGAAATCTGTGACTAAATTGCAGCCTTACACATGGATTATCCACATAGGGCAGGGGTGGTCAATAATTTCTTTACTGATTGCCTCTTCAGAAATTTTTGAAGAGGTCCTGAGCAACAAGGGAAGGGGCGAGGCCAGGACACTTCCCTGCTTTCCCGCCCACAGACCATGACTGGTCAAGGGGCCCTTGGCACTCATGCCCCTGGCACTGGGAGACGACTTTGCGTGCTCTCCCTTCTGCCCCCAGGCCAATCAGGGCTTGGGGGCAGGGGAGCACACAAAGTCTCCTCCTGCCCTGCCAGGAGCGCATAGCACTCCTTGCAGGGCAGAGCAAAGGAAACTTTGCATGCTTCCCCCTGCCCCCAGACCCTGATTGGTCAAGGGGCGGGGGAGCAGCAGGGCCTCCACCAGCCAGATCCACCTCCTTAGTGGGACGGATCCAGCTGGCGGAGGCTCTTTTGCCCACCCCTGACAGAGAGTTAATGGGGAACAACTTCATGCATAGACAAACCCTAAGGCACCATTTCTCAAATGGAGCCACCAAGGGCTTTTCATGTGGCTGTCGACTTCGTGGAAGATGATGGGGGAGGGCGCAGAAGCAAAGCATCACTCCCTCCCCCTTCTACCCTGTTGCTCCTGGATGCGCTGCCCTGCACACTCTAGAGACAGGTGTGGCACAATGCTGAAGGAGTAAGGTAAGTTCTCAACCTATTTGGAGGCTGTGGAGCTCTGACTCTGTGGTTGATGGCCGCATAGACAAGCGCTCTAACCACAAGGTTTTGGGCATCAACACCCAGGGCCCGTCACAGTATTGCAGGCACAAACCTCACAACTCTGTGCAGCCCTGGGCTTTGGCCAAGGGGCGTCGGCCAAGGGACTTCAGGCTCCAACCCCTAGCTGCACAGCAGTGGGCTCTGGTCCCTGGCTTTGGTCATGCAGCACCAACCAGTAGTGGCAGCAGGGGGCGGAGGGAAATGAGACTAGTTGACTAGATTAACGGATAAGCCTCGGCTTATTGCTTAATTGTCTAGTCAACAACTTATTGACATCCCTACCCAACACTGAGTCTAAGTGATAGCTAATTCAGGAAAAAATGCCAGCATGGCCATTGGTAAGAGTTCATGGTTACACTCAGAGGATACCAAAAATGTGCTGGGAGAACCCCTTTCTGAAGAGTCCTTTCCACACTGATAGCCTCAAGCCTGTTAACGGTCTTACAGATTGCTATCCCCCCTCAACAATCCCATACACACGCCAATGATGTATTAATGCAAGAGCCATATAAACATTAAAACAATTATTTTTTGAAGTTTAAAAGGACAGCCCCAAACGAGGAACGCTAACAATCATGTTTTTTTGTAAATCTGTAACCACTGAATTTTTCAGCGGTTACATATTTACACATAGTGGGGCAGGCAGCAGCTAGTGCTTGCGCGGAGCCTGTCCCCATCCCTTATGCTGCCTCTGCTACAGAGGAAGCAGCAGTTTGGGGTGGCAGCTCCGCAAGAGCTGGCTCCCCGCATGTATCGGCTCCCGCCTGCTGTAAAGTGTGGTGCCTATAGTCCCCCAGGCTTATTGGTTCATCATGTAAACAGCTAAATGCTAACAGCCCTAGTCCAAAATGCACAGCTCTACAGTAGGTCTTTGCTAGCCAGGTGCAGCACAGGCCATGCTGGGCTAAATGATCAGCACATGAGCAACTGGAATTACAGGTGCCATTGACACAGCAGGAGGGAACTTTTCAGACCCCTGGGAAAAGTGAAGAGAGAACCCCCCTGCCAAGTCTCTACCCACTAGGACCAAAACCTCAAAGGTCCACTACCACTCTCTGGGTTTGGAGGGGCACAGCGAATGAATTCAGGGGCTCATGTCCTGGGAAGGTGTCTCCAGCTGATGCTCCCTGCCACTGAAGAGCTCTGTGCTCCTGGTCTCTCCCAGGCACACAAGCCCGCCCAGTAGAAGACCCTACACCTGACCCGCCTTGTCGCGCTAATCCCCTGGGCTCGCAGGCTACTCGGCACTCACCGCCCCGTCAGCAGCGCCCACAGCAACGGGACTGAAAAGCCGGGAGGGGGCATAAAAGAAGGGCCGAGCAGGGCAGGGGGGA